AATAGGGACGCAACTGATTTGCTTTGTACATTAGATATCACTTTTTTGTCAGTTTCCTAGTTAATTTTTCCCAAAAATGCAAGTGTTTCAGCACTCGTAGCAAGCATGAACCACATTCATGAGTTTCCACGATCGGTAAATACAGCTTCTACCTTATCAGTTCCCCTTTCTGCTGCTGTTTATTTCTGGTTCTTTGCATTTCTTTACCTCACTCTTTGTTTTTGCTTGTGTTTCTGTCCCCTTATGCTTCTCTTCTCCTTTCGGGTCAAAGATTGTGGTTCTTACTCTCTCTCAAAGTTTCTTCTCTCTCTTACTCATATAGTATCTCTCTGAGAGGCTTTACTTGCTTTAAAACTCAACTTACTTGGAGTATTTTTGGAAGTTAGATTCACAGGAAGCATATCAATCCCTCATTTTGTCTCTATTACTCATTCTGTCTCCCTCCACGGAGCTTTCCTCTTTTACTGTGTACAAGGTACAATGGTGCATGTGAATATCTTCAAGATCCTTTAAAGTCACAACCTGTCCTAGCTTGGAAACATATCATAGTTCCTTCACTGTTACTACATTACAGCTGGTAGTACACTTCAAAAGTGCTTCATTGGCATGTAAAGGACTTTGAGACTTTGGTTGTCACAAAAAATGCTATACAAGTGAAAATCTTTCTTTCTTTCATAGGGTTAAAATCCTGGAGCGTCTTACCAAATGGTACTTTGAAAGTGCCTTCAACACGGAGAAGGCAGAACTTCCAGAATAAGGCTTATTACCACCTTTTCAAAGGCAAATGGAATGGGCATTTAATGCTGGCCCTGCCAGTGATGCCTACATCCCAAAGAATGGTAGTTTTAAAAAAAACAATCTCCCACACAGTCATGCCACATCTATAGGACAAAGTCACCTTCGTCAGCTGCTCTGAGCTCAAATAATCACAGTTCTGTCTTCACAGCAGTGATTATTTACTTTTGGAAATTCAATCTTTAATAACTTGTTCATTTTTGGAATGATCATTAGGAGCCCTCCTGTGAGATGACAAGTGGTTAACTTGATTAAGGCTTTTGAAGACCACTCTACCTAAATTATAACACCAAATTAGCAGATTCACCTCGGCTGTTACACAGTTATGTAAGTCTAACACTATTTTCCGCTTTTATTAAAATTGGGAGAAATACACAATTTTCATTTATAATCTCCTCATCCGCTGACTAAAATTGCAACCTGTGACTTTGAAACATGATTCTTACAATGCTTGACATTTCAATAATAAAACACCAGTCCACATTATGAGACACGTGGAATAACAATACCTTATCACTTCTCAATCTGATAAATGGTGTCACTGGTTATAGATGAATCCAGGTTTGTAAAGTTCTAGTGTTTGCAACCTTTGAGGCAAACATCTCAATGTCAACTGAGAAGAGGCTGGTTTATTGACAAGAGAGGCCCAATGCATGAACTACCTCTGCCATGGAAGAATGGAAATTGACTTTCTGTAAAAGTGGATCAACCTCCTTTTTCTAATAAAAGATGTGGAGTTTTGTCAAAACCTTCTTTGTACTCACACTAGCTATCAACTTTCAAGAGGATTAGTTAAGGTATTATAAGGGCAGAATGGGTATAGTTGCTGGAGTAGTACAGGGATGCATCATTGGGCGAGTGGTGGTCAATCCCCTACCAGAAAGTGGCTAGCCACATGAAATGGTGCTGTATCTTGGTGGAAAGAAATGCTTTCCAAATTCTGCCCATTGGTTTGCCTCAAATAATGCTTCCAGTTCAACATTTTGGGACCACCGATATTGGGTCTGACTTGTTTGATGATCTTTGACCCAGAAGCAGTAATAGTAAGAAATTTGTAATTAAAAATAAAACAGCAGATGCTGCAAACCAGAAGCAGAAATAGAGATTGGTGGAAAAGCACAGCAGGTCTGTCAGCATCTGTGGACAGAAATCAGAGTTATCATTTCAGGTTGAGTGACCTTTCCTCAGAACTGGGTGTCCAGTTCTGAGGAAGGGTCACTTGATCCGAAACGTTAACTCTGATTTCTCTCCACAGATGCTGCCAGACCTGCTGAGCTTTTCCAGAAATTTGTAACTACTTTCTCATATTGGAAAATTGTAAATGTTTTAAAAATTGTTTGAAAAGAACTTGTTAAGAGTTTAACTCACACATAAAGAACCCAATTATATTTCCTGAATATTAGAAATCCATTCTCTGTGATTTGGAGACCTTTGTTCTCAAAGCAGCACCAGGAAGGGAGTTAAAATACAGACGCCTTGAAGTAAACAGACACAAAGAGGAAGAGAAAGCTTGACGAGAGGAGGTGGTCAGCAAGCTGATTTGGAGAATTAGATTCCTCGGCAATACGGAAGCATGAAGTGCTGTTTCTTTCATTTCTGAGCATGACTGAATGCCCAGAATCAGCCATACCATGTAAAGCCAGTTCAGATAGACCAATGACCAATGGGAGATGAAAGCTGAGAAAGTTCCATAAAGAAGTACAGATTATTACATGGATGGAATCTTGTTTAGGTGGAAACAGCAGGTTTTAGAAAATTGGCTAAATTCTTTTCGGAAAGGGACTGAATCATGCCTTAGGAAGATCCAAGCTTGGAAGAACTTTGTAGCTGAAATAGACAGCATTCTAGACTGTCTAGAAAATTAGTGAAACTTACCTTTGTTGTATAAATAAACTATAATTTACAGTTTGTACCATGTTAAATTATATTTAATTTACATTATTACTTTGCCATGAGTCAAAATCTGTTACAAAAATGACATCTTGTTCCATCATTTCTTCAGTTGGGGATTGTTTAGTAAACATTTGACTCTTTCAGTTTGTGATCTTAGCATTACATATTTTCCAGCTACAGAACAGTGCACAAGTTTATCATTAACAACCTTAACCAGGACATAACAAGCAAAAATTGGATCTTCAGCTGTGAAAAAGTTCATTGATTTTATGAGAACAGCTCTTTAATTGATGTAAATTATCACTGAGCTTACACATCTCATAATGAGCAACAACATCTAATAATAAATTAAATATTACCTTTTCATAACTGAGGCAGCAGAACATTCTTTCCAGGCGAATTACCTCGGGTCTTTGACTAAATTGATCTACACTGCCACACCTCATGTCTTTTCTGTTTTAGTGATTTGTGCACCAATTGTAATTGGATGGTAGGCTTTGTTTACAGGACTTAGATATGGAAGATTAAAGGGTGAATTATTTATGGTGTTTAAGATGAATTAACGTTGGTGGGGTATATTCCTGTTGGAGGCATCCAGAACAAGAAGTTGTAATTTTAAAACTAAAGCTATGCCATTCAAGGGTGAAATCAAGATGATCTTCAAACAAAGGATAGTGAAAATCTGGAACTCCTTCCAGTCAGCTGTGGCTCATCACTCTTAACTCAGTCTGAAAAGTTCCTGGTTCAATACTTACCTTAGGATGTTAGCACAAACTTCAGGTTTGATATTACAGTACAAGTGATGCACTGTCAGAGGTGTTGGCTTTCAAACCAAGACCCTGTTACCCTCGAAAATCACAAAAACAGTTTATCCACTGGTTATCACAATGTGTTTGGCTATTATCTTTCGAAATTTACACTGTTGACACTTCAAAGCAATTGCCTGTAAAGCACTTTGGGAGATTGTGTGCTCCTAAAAACTGCTACATACATGCAGGTCATTCTTTTAACAAATCCGAACGTAGAATTACACATCCACCATTCTGCATTTGTGTTACCAAGTATATGTTTTTGCACCCATTTTGTTTTTGGGGCACCCTCCAAAAGCCTCAAGTTAACATTTTTAGTGAACTTTAATTTGCTGCTGAGACTGGAACAAAAACACAGGAGCAAAGTGATTTCAGGTCTGGGACACGTAAGTACAGTGTAGCTCAACTGGCTAGCTCCAGTGCTTAGATTCCATAATCCTGAAACAGTAAAGTCATATCAGACTTCAAACATTAACTTCCTGTCTCTCTTCACAAATGCTGCTAAACCTGAGTTTCTCTCGCATTTTGGGGTAGGGTATTGCAGATCCTCAAATCATGCTCTGACCTTTTCTGAAGACTTCTGTGTGGAGCTGCAGTATTGTCATTTCCAAGTACTACTGTTTAACTGTTTTTGTTCCTCATTGTAGAATAGAATTTCCTTGGAAATTATTCCAAACATTCACCACTTCGTGTTGTTGTAATGTATTTCTGAGCCCTGCCTTAAACCTTTCAAATCTTCAGGGAGGTGATGCCAGTTTTACACCATTTGTGAGACCTGATCTGGAGTAGTGTGTATACAGTTCTGGATGCCACAGCATAAGAAAGGCTTGAATATATTGGAGAGAGCGCAGTTGCGATTTACAAGGCTGGTTCCAGGGATTAAGGATAGACTGGAGATAGGAGCAAATTACAGCAGAAGCTGGAATCTGTACTGAAAACAAAAAATGCTGGAAATCACAGCGTGTCAGGCAGCATCCGTGGGGAAAGAGCAAGCTAACGACTCGAGTCTAGATGACTGCTAGATGAGCTCTGAAGAAGAGCTCTGGAGCAGGTGGGACTTGAACCCTGACTTCCCGGTCCAGGAGTAGGGAGGAACCAGCGGGCACAGATTTAAAGTGAGTCACATAAGAAGAAAAGGCCTTCCTCACTCAGCGAGTTGTTAGTGTATGAAACGCAATAGCTGGAAGTGTGGCGGAGGTGTGTTGAACGGAGGCATTCAAGAGAGGGAGTGGGTAACGTGCAAGCGGGGAGGGTGTTGGAGAAAGCAGGAGATTGGCATTAAGTCTGGATGCACTTTGGAAGAAACTGTGCTCTTCCGAGATTTTCAGTGACAACTCAGTAACCTACACCACACTCTCCCGGTGCTGAGGAAGATCCCACAGGTCCCCGGTTAAGGAAAAGGGGGCGATCGGCGGTTGACGACCGCGAACAACGACACCTGACGCCCTCTAGCGGCGCTGACCCCGGAAGTGCTCGGCGCGCGCTGACTGCGGAGACGCGGCGGTTAACGGTTGGTGGCGGCGGTTGGCGCCTTCCCCACACCGCAGGCCTCCCCATGCTTTAGACAGCTAGCACCAGACTCCGATCGCCACTCACTGGCAATAAAAAAAGTCTTTTTTTAATCATTCCACCCCCCCCGACTCCCTTACTATCCTGACGGTATGACCGGCAACTTACCTCCTTGTGTGATTGACTGTGGAACAGGGTGAGTCCGGTGTGTCTTGTGTGTTGATCTACCGACGCGTTTACGGGAAGAATCTTCACTTAATATTCCACGGCCCCCTCGCCACCCCCCTTCACTGTCCTTTACACCATCCGTCTCTGTCCCAACGGTTGCCCTGGTAACGGCCGCTGCGAACTGGCGGGGGCGTTTCCATGTTGGCGAGAGGTCGGGGGTGTGGCCAGCGGGGAATTATAGCGGGAGGTTGGGGCGTGGCTGGTGCGGGAGGGTGGGGGAGAGTGGGAGGCGTGTCTGGCGGGGCTGGAATGGAGTGGGGCGTGACTGGTTGGGTGGGGGTGGGGTGGGACGTAGCTGGTGGGGCGGGGGCGTGGCTAGGAGGAGTAGTGTCGTTGAAGGGGCGTTGCTGGGAGGGCGTGACCAGGAGTCAGGGAAGACGTGACTGGGGAGTCCAGGGGTGTGGGAGGTAGAGCAAGTGTTTCAGGGATCAGTGGCCAGGAGGTATGGGTAAGCTGGTAGGGTCAATGGAAGCTCCTCTGACTTAATCTTCCAAATCCATGACCCCTTCCACCTAGAAATGCAAGAGTGCCAGAAGCTTGGGAACACCACTGCCTGCAGGTTCTCTTCCAAACCACACTCCATCCTGATTTGGAACTGTATTCTTAATTCTGGCTGGGTCAAAATCCTGGAACTTTCTTTCTAGCAGCGTTGTGAGCCTTCGTACATCCTCAGGACTGCTGTGTCTCAACACCACTTTTTCCGTGGCAATTAGGGATAAAGAATAAATGCTGGCCTACCAAACATTGCCCACAACCCATAAATGAATTAAAAGCTATCAAACCATCCAAACTGCGCTAGCTCTCTGGAGGGCAGTCCAGTTAATCTCATTCTCCTGTAGTCATACCAGTTTATTTCCTGGAAGTGACTGGCCAATTCCCTCTTAAATATATTCTTCTCCAGTTCAAGCATTTTTGTAGACAGTGTGAACGTTATTTAGATGGAGAAAATCTACAGAACAGAGAGATTTGGGAGTCCTCATCCATGAGCCATGAAAAGCTTGCATTCAAGTTCAGCAGGAACATTGGCCTTTATTTCAAAGGAAATGGAATATGTAAGGAGGGAAGCTTTGCTAAAACTGTACAAGACACTAGTCAGACCACAGCTGAAATATTGTAAACAGTTTTGGACCCCTTATCTAAGGAAAGATATACTGGCAACGGAGGCAATCCAGAGAAGATTCACAAGGTTGATCCAAGGTCCAGAGGTTCTGTCTTGTGAGGAGAAGTTGAATAGATTAGACCTGTTCTCCTTGGAATATACAGGAGTGAGAGGTGACCTTATTGAAATGTGCAAGATTCTTAAGGGACCTTACAAATTAGATGTGAAAATGTTGTTTCTCCCTTGTGGGAGAGTCTAGGACCAGAGTGCATAATCTCAGAATAAAAGGTCGCGCATTTAAAACGGAGCTAAGGAGGATATTCTTCTCCTGGAGGGCAATAAATCCAGAATTTTTTTACTGCAGAGGGCTGTCGAAGCTAGGTCATGAAGGATGTTCAATGCTGAGACAGGCAAATTTTTAATCAGCAAGGGAATCAAGGGTTATAGAGAAAAGGCAAGAAAGTGGAGTTGATGATTTTCAGAGATAGTAGGAACTGGAGATGCTGGAGAATCCGAGACAACAAGGTGCAGAGCTGGATGAACACAGCAGGCAAGCAGCATCATAGGAGCCTTTCTGCTCCTATGCTGCTCGGCCTGTTGTGTTCATCCAGCTCTGCACCTTGTTGAGGATTTTCACTTTAGCCACTGAAATGTGGAACAGACTCAATTGGCTGAATGGCCTACCTCTGCAACGTCTTATGATCCTATGTGTACTAGATCAATGACTTCCGAAGAGGCATTATTCTTACTATTCACCAACCTGTTCAGCTGTGGCATGATACATCTCTACAGCAGGTGGGACTTAAACCCAGGTTTTTTGGCTCAGAGTTTGGGACCAGTGTACCACATGAACCTCTGAGGAGGCATTATATTGGATTCTGAACATTAACTCTTATTCACATACAAGTTTCTTCTTTCACAGATGCTTCTTTTACAGATCAAGCCTATAGTGATTCTCCAGCACGTTTTTTTTGTTCCAGTTTGTCACTGCACACTGAATTAACAAAAAATTCTTCCTCCATTACCTTTGCATGTCTTTCCCAAAATTTGAAATCTCTGTACACTAGTCCATTGGCAAATGGGAACAGCTTTTGTCTAGTTTATTTAAACTTGTCATCATCTTTTTCACATTGATTAAATCCCCGTGCATTTTCTATGCTCCATGGAGAACAGTTCCAGCTTCTTCAAACTAAACTTTGTAGCTAAAGTTCTATTATTCCTGGAACCATTCTGCTGAATGTCGTCTGTATACTCTCAAGGACCCTGAAGTCCTCCCTGAAGTTTCGTAGCCAGACTTGAATGTAATACTCCAGTTGTGTTGTGTGTCTATTTTTCCTGTAAAACCAAAGGCAGTAAAACAAGCAGCTCAGCTGGTTGCATTTGTGAATGTTAGCCATTGTAATGTTCATATGTTTATAACTTTATTAATAATGAATTTTATATCTTGCATTATTTTTGTTTAGTTTTGGTTATCAATGTCTTCCTTGAGCTTCAAATTTATTTATTGCCCATCTTGAAGGTGGTTCCAAGCCACCTTTTTGAACTGCTTGTATTATTTATGGTTGTCTTGATTCGGAGCACAAAAATCAAGCCTGACACCCTGAGGCAGTGTTGGACTGTCACAAGTGCTATTTGTCAAGTGAGTAACCCAGTCTTCTCTAAAATGTGGTCATGAAAGAATCATGGCCCTATTTCAAAGAAGGGCAGAGAATTTAGCCACTGGTATCCTTCAGTGAACATCATAAAAGCAGATTATCTGGTTAATATCTCATTACATTTTATGGGAACTTGCTATATCCAAATTGGCTGTCGTGTTTCAAATATGTATTCAAACATTAGGAGTATGAGAAGGCCGCTCGAGCCTGCTTCGACATTCAATAAGGTCATGAATGATCTGATTACTCCACAGTTGTGTCTATCCCTGATAGACCTCACTATCCCTTCCTCATGAAGAATTTATTTACCTATTTCTGCTTTCACTACCTTTTTTGAGGAAGAAAGTTTCTTACTTTACAATAGTGACTACCTAGAAGTACATTAGCTGTAAAATTATTTGGGACATTAGGAGGTTGTGCAAGATGCCAATTAAATAGAAGTTTTTTTTATTTTAAGTTCATTTTTGATTATTCTGGACAAGGAGACTGTTCTGTATTAATATTCATAGCATCTAGCATGCACAAATGCATCAGACTGTGATCCTTACTGATGATCTTAAAGTGGTTTCTGCTTTAACTCTTAGCACAATTTCAGATTATTTAATGAACGATTTACAATTGCAAAATCACACTTGATGATGCATGTACTTTGAGGCTTGCAAGCACAGGCTGATTCAACACGATTGGTATGTTGCTGGTTGTGAATGGCCAATGGGATGGCATGGAAACCAATTTTCAGATCACCAGTTCAGCTCAGAGAACCATGTTTTATGTTAACAAAGGAATTTGTAAATCTGTTGCACCTTTTTTTCATGGAAAAGAAATGGGTCAAGGGGACTGCCAATGTTTGCTGCATTCCTATGATAACACCCTGACTTTGATGAGAGTCTACTTGCTTCGCCTGAGAATTAAAATTGATAGGTAACTGTTTTTGCTGCAAAAACAGAAGTTGCTGGAAAAGGTTGTTCTGAGGAAGAGTCACTGGACCTGAAATGTTAACTCTGAGCTTTTCTTCACAGATGCTGCCAGACCTGCTAAGCTTTTCCAGCATCTTCTGTTTTTGTTCCTGATTTACAGCATCTGCAGTTTTTTTCGGTTTTTGTTCTTGCTGCATCTCCATGCTAATGATGGTCTAACCTATTAGCAATCTCTCTTTTTTAATGCTCTATAAAATGATGCCACTTTTTACAAGAATTACAACACAGGGATAGCAAGCCAAACCAAATCAGCCGCATTATCACTCGATTCGCAACATGGTGAAACTAAAACATTCAATGACCCTCAAAATTGCTTAATTGTTCCTAACCAGACCTTAGAAATGGTGGATCTTGGACACCAAGTTTATAACAGAGATTGACAACTTATTATTAATAATATACTTTAGCAGAACACAGTTGAATGATAAAGCAATCTAATTATCTATGATCTAAGCCCAATCTTCTTTGTTCATAAACCCCCCACTCTCTCATCGACAGACACAGTTAAAGGATTAGTTAAAAAGAAAATAAAAGAAATCTAATTTTCTAGTTCAATAACCATTTCAATGACGAATATTAGGCCTTCATGAAATCTTTTGATGGATTGTATTACGGACAAGTAGGTCTGTACATCTTGCATGAATTCTGAAGTCAGCAGTCAATGAAAACAACTTCCACAGACTTCTAGAAACTTGTACTTATTTCTTACAATTGGGATTCATATCTCAGAACTTTCAACAAGTCAATAACTGGATAGTAACTAGAGAGACCAAAACAAAAACAACTTCCAAAACAAAATGGCCTCCTGCCAAAAAAAATCAGAGCCAGTTCACTCTGTTTATTCTTTCTTTTTCAACGTGGCCAGCACTTTATTGACCAATTGAACATTTAACCTGCTGCCAGTCCTTAAGCATAACAACACCTCAGTGCTGGATTGGCTAAAGTCCTTGGAGCTGTAATTAACCAGCATTACCTTTCCAGGCCAGTTCCTGACAGCAAACTGCAGTCTGGCGCTATATTTTTTTCTAAAACAAGCTGCTGTTTCAAGTTCAATTCTTGACTGCAACTCACAATTCCAAACTCAAAAACGAGAATATAGAAGAATAGTAACGTTCTCAAAACAAATATTTTTTTAAAATCATAGTTCTGATGAATGCAAGATGAAACTCTGACTTCTTGTCTCCATTTATCAATTTCTATGTTTTGTACACTAACTGTTTCAAAAATCTTAATTATGTGAACTTCATTGCATTTTGTTACATTATACCCAGCAATGTGATTTTTAATATTGACAGTTTTGACAATATTATTAAAAGATCTTCACATTTATTTACATCAAAGCTGTTTTTCCCCCTTGCTGCCCTACATTGGAGATTATGTAGATGAATGCAGCAAAGTTCTTGTTAACATGTTTTGGCTCATGTAGCAGATTGTTGTTGGAACAAAGTAGTAGTTGTAGCCTTTATGTAAAAACTGACTGTTGTGCTCTACATCT